CCCGGGAGGGCAGCAGCGCTGGGCTTCCCCTCACTCAGCCAAGGCCTATGGAAGTACTGGTTAGTTTATTTAGCCGTGTTGTTTTTTTTCTTGTATTTTCTTTTTTTTTTTTTTTTGAGGGGATGAGGGGGTGCATATCTTATAGCCCAGAATGTAGAGATCCAAGGGTGACATTGAGGAGTCGGGGAGAGGAGAGGAGAGGAGAGGAGAGGAGAGGAGAGGAGAGGAGAGCCTCTCTGTGCCTTGGCTTCCATTGTGCATTCAGGGCCTCTGTTGGCCTTACACAAGAAGTCTGATGGGGTAGTGTTTGAAGTGAGCACTCAGGCTTCCTCTGAGGAAAAGGAAGCACCAAAGTGCAGACTTTTATTACTGCCATTCCTGCTCCCAATGGAAGCAGGAGTCAAAAGAAGAAACTTAAAATGGGCTAATGAGAAAAGAGCGGAGATGAGACAGAGAGTGGGAGGGGCTATGCTGTTGGCATCCCATCAATGCTTATTGAAAACAGCACAGGCATTGAAGTTTCTGGAGGATCTATGAGAAATGTAAATTGTTATCTCTACTATGACTACTTACACATATCATCTAATGAGAAAAGAGTGGAATGGATGTTAGAGAGTCGATGGGGGAGGAAAAGCTACACAAATAAATACAAGTGGAAGGTACCTGCCCTATTCCTAAAAGGATTGGCTGGCAATGCTGGCACTTTGTAGCCAGGAAAATCCTCCAACCTCACTCTCCAATCCTCATTAGTTCTGAAGGAGTCAAGAGCCCAGTTAGGATTCCCTGGCCAGAGGTTTCTGTGACCCTCTCAGGACTCAGGACATGCAGCAGCTGGAAAGGACTTGAATCAGTCCCGAGAATCTTTAGCCCCCAAAGGAGACCAATGACCCCCCAGCAGGAGAGCTAGGATCTGGAGGGAAGAGAAGGGGAGTCCAAGGACACCTTGTAGCTGAGACAATGGAAAACAAGTGCCATGTCCCGAGAGACCCATTTGTTCAGTTGCCAGAGGTAACTGGCATCTTCTGCCACTATCTTAAGTCCATAAATTTTAAAAAAAGTTTGCAGCAAGAAAATGCCAGTGTGCAATCCGGTGACTAAAGACCAAAGGAAAACAGTAAGAAGGGACAGCTTATTTGCTCTCTGTCTCAGGTTGATCTTCCCCTGAAATCTCTCATAGCCCTAATGAAACACAAACAAAAGTCTCTTCCATAGACAGGCTACTTCTCAGCTTCAGGTGCCTCCTGTGGTGGCTCTGGGGGCTCTGGAGGGGGCATCTCTTCAGGAGTGCTGCTGTCCTCTGGCATCTCATTAGAGTTCATATGTTCTGTGGAGGCCTGAGAAGTAAAAGATATCAGATTCAACACAAAGCTCTCTCAAGATCTAAATGCAGATAATTCAAAGGCATTGAATTCTTCCTCAGAAACCTTTGATGACAGTGACACTAAAGATATGCAGCCATGGTCACCAAACTCAGATCAAGACTATATCTCCTCAGCAGAATGCAGCTGCAGCTTATTTGAGGTGTATCCTTAACTCGGATGGACAGGTATTTCCACTATTATAAATGATGAAAATAGCATGTACCATAAAGAATTATATGCAAGCATACCCACCACAACAGAATATTATACTGCGCTTGTCTAAGAAGGTTTGACACAACAGTTTTCAATCCTGTTTCTGTCCTAACAGAGAATTTCTTAGAAAAGTGAGTTGAAACCTATGAAAGTGATTTCAAATGATGCATATGATTTAAAATGTCTCCTAAGTGATTCGAAAATGCATCCTCTCATATTTAACTGAGAACCACAAACCTATATTGTTATTATTTGGAACCAGCCTCATGAGAAAAATGATATTCAAGGTGATGACAATTACATGTAATCATGTCCTTTAAAAAGCAAATGAAAGATTTAGTGGAGAAGAGAATAATAACCCTACAAAAATATGCACATAAAGTAAGGTTTTATTTTGAGACAAAGTTTAACTCTAAAAATCTATTAGAATGAAAACATGTTTGGTTAGATTTCAGAATATTAGACTAATATACAAAGATTAATTGTGTTTTCCTATACTCTCATGAGCAATGTAAAAAACACAATTAGGAAATCAACTTCGTTTACATTAATGTCAAAAGAACAAAATATTTATGTAACAAGAGAGTCATTTAAAATTATAGCATCAAAGAAAACCAAAATTAACTAAAAGATAGCCCATGCTTTTTGGTAAGGTTCCCTTCCTACCTGGCAGAGAGCTACCGTCCCACTATATCCTGAGAAGGCAGCAGAGAAAACAGTTAAGGAGACATGTGTTCTGTGTGTGTGTGTCTCTGTCTCTCAGTCTCTCCTCTGTGGATAGATGTTCAAATGGGTGTGCATGTGTTGCAAGTACCTTACCACTGAGCTCCATCTCCAACAAAAGACAGCCATGCTAATGGCTCAGAAAACTGTGTTATGGTGACAACATTCCTCAAATTGATCTATGGAGGCAATGCATTCTCTATCAAAATTCCAGCTGGCTTCTTCACAGAAACTAGTAAGCTTTAAGATAATCCTAAGGTCTATTCAGGATTTCAAGGCACCAAGAAGAGCAGAAACAAACATGAAAATGAACAAAGTTAAAGGAATAGTATAGTATTTCAGCCGGGCGCTGGTGGCACACGCCTTTAATCCCAGCACTCCGGAGACAGAGGCAGGAGGATCTCTGTGAGTTCGAGGCCAGCCTGGTCTCCAGAGTGAGTACCAGGATAGGCCCCAAAGCGACACAGAGAAACCCTGTCTCAAAAAACCAAAAAAAAAAAAAAAAGGAATAGTATTTCCTGTCTTAAAAGCTTTTCAGTGCTAAAGCAAAAGAGACAGTGTACTATAGGCATAAGAATAGACACACAGATCAACAGACCATAACAGAGTCCAGAAATGAACTCACATTTCAGGCAACTGATTTTCAACAAGTGTCAAAATAATGGGGGAAAGGGAACAATCTTTTCAACAAATGGTAGAAAAGTAACTGGATATTCACAGACAAAAAAAAAACAAATAAATAAAATGTACACTCCCTATTTACTCCCGCATATAAAAATTAACCTAAAATGGACCAAAAATATGAATGTAAAAGTTCAAAATATAAAACTCTCAGAAGAAACAGGAATAAATCTTCACAACCACGGATTAGGTAACAGTTTCTTAGATATGACACCAAAAACATGAGCCATAAAAGAAAAGAAAGAAATGGCTATATATTAAAATTTAGAACATATGGGCTACAGAGATAGCTCAGCGGGTAAAGAGCTTGCCCTGTAAACATGAGGACTTAGGGCTGGGGGGGGGGTGGTAAGAATGGTGACATGCACTTCAGCTCCCAGCACTAGGGAGGTAGAGACAGGAGGGTCACTAGAGCTAGATGCACAGCCAGCCTACTCTAAGTGGTGAGCTCCAGGTTACTCAGAGAGGGCTATCAAAAAGCAAACAAACAAACAAAACCACAAGCCAAACAAATGAACAAACCATCAAAAAACAAAGCTGGAAAGCAATTAAGGAACAGTAAAAGTTATTCTCTGCCCTGCTATCCATCTGCCTACACACATGAAGGGGGGAGGGAGAGAGAGAGAGTATGCAAACAAAAGATTTGAATAAATATTTCACTTGTGAAGATATACAAATGACTAATACCTATATGGAAAGATATATGCATCATTAGTCATCAGGAAAATGCAAATGAAAGCCACAATTCGATAACACTTCACATCCACAGAGGCTAAAATTAGCAATCATCAGATGACCTATCGGATAATGCTAGTGGAAATGAAAAATGGTGCAACCACTTTAGAAAGCATCTCAGCAGCATCCCAAAAGATGTAAATATTTTATTTATATAAATGAGTTACCACTTTTCTCAGCAACTTCACTCCTAGGAATACAGCCAAGAAAAATGAAAGCATATGTCCATGCAAAAACTGGCACAGAGATGTTCCTAGTAGCAATGCTTATAATAATCAAAAGGTAGGAACAGGGCTAGTGAGATGACTCAGCAGGTAGGGGCACTTGCCAAGTAAGCCTGATAACTTAAGTTTGATCCCTGGAACCCACAGTGAGAAGAGAGAACCGACTCTAAAATCTGTCACCTGACCTCCACACACCACACACTGTGGCACACACAAGCCCACACTCATATATGTATCACGTATATACACATACCACAGTAATGATAAATAAAATTTTAAAAATAAAAAATGTGGAAATGGTGAATGGATAGATAGAACATGGTATATCCATGTGCTGTGATATGAATCAGTCATATAAAGGAATGAAGTACAGCCACATGTAATACAGATAGATCAGCATCAAAAATATTATGCCAGAGCCTGGGGAGCTCACTGGTACAGTGCTTGCCTAGCACATATGAGGTCCTGGATTCCATACCCAGGTCTCACTGCTAAGATATACAAGGTTTCTTAAGGCAGAGGATAAGGATTTTTTTTTAATTTGTGACAATCATACATGTGTTAGCATACTATACTAGGGAATTGTACATTTTAAATAGACACTGTATGGTATGTACATTGTATCTCAATAAACCTCTTAATAAATTTCAAATAATGTTTAAGAAGATATTTTACAAAATATATCTTGACCTAGATACCTGGGAGAATGCTCACAATACCCTATATTATACCAATATAACCACATCAATATCTCTAACATGGTCCTCTGGCCACATCTTTGCCTCAGTAACATTGTATGTTTCCCTAATCAAGATACTCTTCACTCACTGAGTAATGTTCTGTTTTCTTATCCCTCATCTCCACAAGACAATAACTGCTTTCAGGGTGGGGCATCATTTGACTTGCTTACTGGTGTATCCCTCCAACCTATGAAAGCGGTTGGCACAGAATAACTGCTTAATATGTGTCAAAGAAATGAATAAAGCCTAATCTATGTCAGGGACATAAAGGTCCAAAGGCACTATCAAGGCAGAAGCAGAGACAGGGAATCTGGAGAGATTAGGATACAAAATCACACAGTTACATTTTAAAACTGTAGAGGTAGCACGTGGTCCCTATCACCAGTGTAAGTCTGCAATACTTACTGGACTTTGTGGCAAGAGGCTACTGCTAGTCTCTTGAGTACTTGGAGGTCGACTTCCATTTTCCTCCAGTGGCAAAATACCCCTTCGATCCAGCACACTGCCAGAGACAGGAGAATTAATCAAGCACTTGGCAATCACTCTTCTACCAGTTCAGTCCCCATTGAACCTTGTTATGTACATTAGAAAGCACAAACATGCCTTTGGTAATCTGTCTTGGCCCTAGCACACATCTATGTTCCATTTACTCTTCCACAAACTAGAAGATGTCACATTAACCAGGGAACAAACAACTGAAGTAAGCAGCCCGTGACCTATGGCCTATGTAGCTATGGTGCCATGTGACAATTCCCAGGAAAACCTATTTGATATCAGTAAGTTCCATTCAGAAGAATGTTCAGAGCAGGCAAGAGGATGGGTTTAAGTAGTTCATCTTAAGAGCCCAGGGCAGTTTTGTTACTTGAGTACCTGGGGGGCAAGGGGCCACAAAGCACTTCACAGCAGTTCTTCACAATGTTGCCATGACTGTAGGGATTCTGCACGCGATTCTTCCCTGTCCATGATCCTTTGATCTGCAAGATAAAAGCCAGGGCTTACATTAAAAAGTTATGTTGGAGAACCACATGCAGCATGGGAGGATGAAAAGGTTCAAGAGGTGGATAATGGCAATAACTGTACAACAGTATGAAGATACCAAATGTCCCTGAACTATACACTTAAAAAGTTTATGATACTGGGCATAATGTCACACACCCTGTGATCCCAGAACTTGGGTGCTAGGCCAAGCTCCTCTACATATTGATCTCAAACTCCCACAAAAATAAATTAATAAAAAATGTAAAATGGTTAGGATGGTATGTATGTTTTATGTTGTATATCTTTTACTAAAATGATTGACAACAATAGGGGCCAGGAGGATTCCTCAGTGGGTAATGGCGCTTGCCACCAAGCCTGATGGTCTGAGTCATCAAGACTCACATGGTAGAAGGAGAGAACCAAGGTTTCCTGTGATATCACACAAGTTCAGTCTTGAATGCATATTCACACTAACTAATAAATTTAGTTTTAAAAAGAAATAAATAGTTGAACATGAAAACTATTTACGAGTAGGAAAAAGACAAATGAATATGTGGTCTTTGTATTTAAAATATAGTGTATATGCACACTCACAGAGACTGTGACAGTGCGCACAAGACCTGCAGAAAGTGCAAACCAGCCCAAAATGCCAGCACTGAGAGAAGGGGAGGTGGACACAATGTCCTCCCACTAACCAAAGACTTTTGCAATTGACAGCTGCTGGGAAAGGAAGTCCGTTTTCTCCAGTGAGTGGCACTGGATATAACAAGCACACTCCAGGGCAGGCTCCATGCCCAGGAGGAGTTAGCCAACACAAAGACTCTGCATTTTGTTTTTTGTGTTGTTTCAAAGTTTGACTTTGTTTTGATATCTTTTGTCTTATTTTTTAGTTTGTTTCGAATTTTGTTGTTTTGACTTTTTTCTTTCTTTTTAAGAGAGAGAAAAAGAACATGCCAGGTGGGTAGGGAGGTGGGGGAGATCTGGGAGAATTTGAGGGAGAAGAAGATGATCGAAATATATTGAATGAAAATTTTTAAATAAAAATCTATTTTAAAAATACAGCCTATGTGCAAACAAATAAGATCCAATCTAGACAAGTTTAGAAGACTATAAATCATATCTAGAAGGTAAAGTTACAAGAATTTATTTGTTCAACTATATTTTTCTCATTATCCATAATGAATGTGAATTGGTAATTCCTTAAAAGTAAATATTTATTGGGTGCAACTATCCTTCTCTATTCTAAATTTAGAAGCATCAATAGCCTTTTTTGTTGTTTGATTGTCTTTAAGATAAGGTCTAGTTATGTAGCTCATTCTGGTCTCTTTGTCACTATGTAGCTCAGAGTAAGTAGCCTTCAACTTGAGATCTTACTGTCTGAGTCTCTCTAGGAAGCATTGCCGTTATAGGAGAATTCCATCACCATAGGACTTCAACTAGCCTTTAAGGATCTATAAACAGTTAAAAGACATTGTGCCTCTCCAACTTTTCAACCTCTTCCTAATGTTCTACAGCTCCAAACACAGCTGTCTGCCTTCTCTTCTATACCTTAAATCTCCCAATCCAGGTTTCTTTCCCACTTGTATCAACCTTCCTGGCCCTGGAGACATGGTTTCCTAGAAGGTAACTAGAGAATGGGCATGGAGAGAAGAAAGAATATATAGCAAGATGAGAAAGTGGACTCACGTCTTCATTGGTTGTCTGGTTGAGAGCCACAAGGAAAGTGTGAAATCCAGTCAGGCCCACAACAGACCAGAGTGTGAAGAAGCAAATGAGGACTTCTAGAACAGTGAGGTTAGGTTAAGGAATGTTGAAGAACTCATACTAGGGGACTTGACACTTCAGCCCATATTCGTGATATCAGTTATACCTTCTTGGAACAAGTATCACAAAAAGCCAAATCATCTGAATATAACTATTAGATGAATTATAAACTTCACTGGATAGATCCTTTATGAAAGTTAATGTATTTCTGTTTATTCACTATGAATAAATCTCTAACATCTCTAAGTGTGTAGCAGTTTGTCATTGGCTCTTAGAAGAGGACATTTAGGAAGGTGCCAAAGCTAAACAATGTTGGACACCACTGCTAATGAAAATCTCACCAAAAACTAAACTTTATAAATGAAAAATCAGTGAGATGGAAACAAGATGTGGTTTATCCAAATCTCTTCTAAATCTCCTTTTCAGAAATGTAGCCACTGCACAAAATAAGCCTTCACTGAAACAGGAGGGCAGGGCTCCCAGCAAATAGCACAAAGGTGTATTAAGATAGAGGGTAGCCAACTAGAGGCATTAAAGCTGGAAGGACTCTCGAAGGAGAGGAGGCAGCCAAGAAAGAGGTGAGGGGCAAACCTCCCTTAAAGTCTTGACCATTTTCCATTCTAGTTGCTAACACTAGGACTACACTTGTTAATTTTAGGTTTTGGCATTCATTGATGTCTGGAAAACCAGATAGTAGGAGAACTGCAGGGAGAAAACATGCTGGCAAGCAGTTTCAGACAGCTTCACAGGGATAAACTGCCAGGGGAGGATATGTTCCAGGAGTTTCTTTCAGTGTCTCCAGGAAGCCAATTTTCAAGGATTCTGTGAAATTGGGAGGAGAGGCAGAAAGAAAAATTAGTGACTTTAGTCAAAACTATAAAAAGCCCCCTAGTATTCACTCACTTCCTCATCTCCCTGTCCTGTACTCTACTCTGGCAAGAGAGAAGGCCCCACTGGTGCAAGGGTAAAGTTTCCCCTTCACCTGCAAGCTTGTGTCTGAGTTCACATTCCCAACATACTCCAATGCAGGGCTAAGCACTGGACCAGAGCTGGGAGAAACCAAGCATTGGGTTCCACTTCCTTTTTCCATTTCCCAAATATGGACACATAGTGGGGCAGTAACAGACGAAAGAAACCGGAAGTACTCTGGAGGAACCTTCTTCTCATCTATGCCCATCCCTTGTGTGATGCCCAGCTTAGAGGTCCTCTCTTCTCAAGACCACTTGCTTAGCTCCAGTATTTCCTCT